CCTGAAAATAGGAAAATGGGGAAATGACCTTGGTAGGGCTTTCTCGGCCCTCTCTTATAACCATGTTTTCATCTGCCTTAGAGACTCCTCGACTCTCAGGAAAGTAAAAAATTTATTTGTATTGCAATTAAAAAGGATGAGTGAGTTAAATTTATGGATTGTACCAAAGGAATTTCATTCCAAATCCAAAAGAAAAGACTTTTTGAATGATCTATGCATCATTTCCCTTCACCAGCCTAATCCTCACTACTATTGGTGGACAAGGCTAGATAGTAGGATACAATTCTAGTAGACATCTTGGAGATTCAGACACTCCTTTGCTGTATCCCTTGGCACAGGACAGATTCCTCCTTGCCTTCCATATTCTCTGATGAATACAAGAGAACAGCATATTCAACGTCCCTCTTTTCCCTTCAGTTACTTCCTGTATCATCAGATTGTCAACCAAGTGTGGCTTGGCAGATGGGACTTGGCTACAAGTAGAGAAGTGTGTGTGTGAGTTCTCTGTGTCCACCTCTTTTCTCCTTCCAGTATGCCACAGGACCCCAGAAGAGAAGTTCATTATGTCTCTTCATGGCTATATCTTTTTGCCACATACAAACTCCACCTTATGTCATACGAGCATTGCATACAAAAACTCATGAAGGAGTCACAACAGTCCCCAGAAACCTGTCCAGGGATGTCTGTGCAGAAGAGAGCAGCCTTCTCTTGATCTGTTTGCAACAATGCATCTCCCATTCAGTTAGATTAGATTTACCCAGGGATGGTGGTACACACGCCTTTAATACTAGTACTCAGGAGGCAGAGGTAGGCGGGTTTCTGTGAGTTCAAGGTCAACCTGGTCTACATGGTGAGTTCCAGGCCAGCTGGGGCTACAGGGAGACCCTGTCTCAAAAAGAGTAAATTAAAAAAAAAAAAATCTTCTATGGTTCACAATGGCTAATACCTATGGATATTGGCTAATGGAGGAGCTAGTCAAAGGTGAGCAGAGAAGGCTGAAGAGATGGCTCTTCAATGGAGTGTTTGTTATGCAAACATGAGGACTTAGCTCAGGTCCCCCGAAGCCATGTAAAAATCCAGACCTGGAGCTGCAACTGTATTCCCAGCACTGGGAAAGCAAAGACAAGATCACTGATGGTGATGGTGGCCAGCCAGTCTAACCCAATGGATGAGCATCAGTGAGGACGATACCCAATGTCAACCTCTGGCCTCTACATGCACAAAACACAAGTGCATGAACACTTGCATGCACACACACATAAACACATATACCACAAGTGCATGATGAGATCCTTTGATGTGAGCAAGACAATTCTGGGTCTTAAAAAGTGCAGGGAAGAGGAAAAAAAGAGAATGTGCGAAGGAAATGGGGGATAAAAAGAAGAAAGAGAGGAAAGGAAAGGAAATTAGGGGAAAATCAAAGAGAAGGTGATCATCAGTGGAAAGCTGGATCCATTCTTTCCATTCCTCATTCAGCAAGCATGCTGAGTGTTGCTACGGACTAGGTGCTCTCTTAGACTCTGAATATACAATCCTGCTTAATTTTCATCACAATCCTTTGACTTAGACATGATTCCCTATTTAGACCTCATTCAACTAACTAAGATTCCCAGAGTTGAAGGAGCAAGCCTGGATTCTGAAGCACAAGGCAATCTTAGTTGAATGAGCTCTAAATAGGGAATCATGTCTAAGTTACTGGATTGTGATGAAAATTAACCAGAATTGTATATTCAGAACTACCCAGATCCACTATCTTGATCGTTATATTACAGAGCTGTGTGCAGAGAATTCTTTTACCAAATACTTTTAGTATCTAAAGGTAATGAACAGTGACAAATCTAAATGATAGAATAATTGGTTTTATCTCACCGATATGGTCTCTTTCTCCTACAAACATGCAACAGACTAGAGCGACTTTAGATTCTTTTCACTAAGACACTAGCCTTCTTGGCCTGAGCACCTTGTTCTTGAAACATTCTGTTATTAGAAAGGGGCAGAGGGGTTTACTGGCTCATGAATCCAACACAGCAGTTACTGTTTTGATAATCCATCTCAATCCTCCAAGGTAGCCTAGCCTTTTGCACACCTGAGTTCTCTAATATTTTTTATATACCTGGGATTGCAAAAGCCCCATGTCCTTCCTCTGTCCTCCCACGTTACACCCTCCTCCATCTAGAATCCCCTCCCCCATTTTTTTCTCAAACCACACTTGAGCCCAGTTCTATCTCTATGAACATGTGGAAATGAAGCCTACATCTCCTACAACCTACTGTTTCACCAAATCATTCAGATCAAGTACAGATCAGAAGGTCAGGTGCTTACTGTGTGTCACATATTTTCCACAGCATTTGACATGGGCCATCCTATAACCTTTAACTTATAAGATAAGCATCATTAACCTCATTTTTCTTATGAGGTGGTAGAAAGTTTGAATACTAGTTCCTAAGGACCCATAGCTAGTAACCAGTGGAGTTCAGACATGACCCAAGGTCTTGTTTAAATTTGTTCCTTTGCCACCAAACCAGTTGATTCCCTAAAAAAGCAAGCATGAAAATAGCACAGGAGCAGAGAGACAACCTGGGCTCAAGAAAGGCTAGCTCTCACAGTTAGAAGAGACATCAAACAGCAAGCCCAAGGCTCTGAGGACCTCTAAGGGGCCTCTTAACTGCAACGAGTTCTCATCCTGTGTTCTGCCCTTTTCTTCCACCATTTGTTACCTCCTAATGTCCTAACACAGATACCCCCCAGCCTTTCTGTAGACCAATTCAGTCAAAAGCTAAAAGCAAATCTGTGTGAAAAGAACAACTGTGATGACCTTTTAAAGTGGAGACTAGCAAGAGAGCGAGGGAGAATGCAAGAACAAAAGAAAGAGAAAGGGTGTGTGTGTTTTCCTTAGGGCTGGGAAGGGACCCAAGGAGCCTGGAGATGTAATGGGATAGGGTTACAGATTACAGAAGTTTTGTTACAGCTGAAATAGCCTTTCACAAAGGCACGGCCCTCCAGAGAGCCATATTTCATCTCTGCCTTCCCCACCACGTAAGGTGGAGGGTGAGGAACTGAAAGGCAAGATTGGAAACTCACGAGGGAGCTGAGCAAGCTCCGACATCCCCATGACACTCCCATCAAACCAGAATGAACTGAGCCCAAATGCTCTTGTCATAACAGGCTTTGGATCACATCCTCATCATCTGTTTATTTATTTTTTTTCACACTCTTTTTGGAGATGCATTGCCTAGCAACCTGCTGTCTTATTCTAAACAGCCATGCACACAATGATCCACAGGCACTTGGAGACACTAGGATAATATTTGAGTGTCTCTGATGAACTTGCTAGAACCAACAGATGATTTACTTGGAAGAGTTAGTTCCTAGAATCTGTGTTAGTCAGAGTCACAGCTTAGGCAAGTCCTGGTGACTGTCATTGGCTCCCTGTGAGGCAGAGGAAGAATACAGTTCTGCTTAGTGGCAGGCAGGTAGACAGCCACCAAGGGATTCATGGAGGCAGGCAGGCACCAGCTTTGCTCTGGTAGAGAATATCAGGCAGGTAAGGCTTTTTGATCAGTCACCTACAACTACCAAGGAAAAAAAAAAAAAAAAAAAAAAAAAAAGGTTTTGGAAAAAAAAAAAAAAAAAAAAAAAAGGTTCTGAGGGCTGAGGGTCTGACTCACCTCAAAGCAGAAGAAAACTACTTACTAGGGTCACTTTCCTGTTTACAAGGCTTAAATTCAAGCCTTATCTCTTTCACACCACCGTGTCATTCACAGGGCTACCTTCAGGATTTAAGGCAGTATCCCTCTAGAGGCTTCTATTCTGACATTCTGATGGTTTGAATAAGAAATGTCTCCCACAGCCTTTAATGTCAAAAGTGGGTTTCCAGCTCCTCTTGTCCTTTTGTGAGGTTCTGGAAATTTCAGGAGATGAAGTGGTTGGAAGACTTCACTCACTGAGGGTAGTCCTTAGGGGTGATCATCTTCTTAGCCCCTTCCTGTCTATCTCTCTACTTTTTGCCTGTCACAAGGTAAAGAAGGTCCTCTGCCACCAACTTTTGCCTCCGTGATACTCTGCCTAAGCCAGATTATGGACGCACAAGCTAACATAAATAACTCTTCCTCTAAGTTGCTCTGTCAGGTAGTTAGGTCACAGCTGACAAACCCAGACATGGTTCTTCAGTGGGGAATGGGCCCATGATAAGGAATTCAGCTGCCCAACCTCTGGGAAACTAACCAGTTATTTTAATTCCTTTCTTGTAAAATAAAACACAAGTGAAATAAGCCAGTTCAGGAAGCCATGCAATAGCAATATGCAATTTAACAGCCCATTACGAAACACACTAGAAATGTAGTCAGTACTGGAGTGAAGATGTAGACCCCTCCATGTACCCCTTCTTAATCTCCACCCCCTCTACTTCCTCTGAAAGCAGCTGCTCTCTTGGCTTTACAGTAAGTGCCTCTCTGCACTTTTTTGTACTTTTAGCACTAGCTGGGCATTTCTGTATACCACGCTTTTTAAAACTCAGTGTGTCTTTTCAGTCTCTTCTTTCCTTTCGAGTTATCTGCTGAAGAATCTAGGGCATTTGAGCTGAGGCTTTGACGCTAAGAAATTGAAAAAAGAAAAAAAAAGAGCGAGAAAGACCAATAAGTGAACAGCCTGGGTTTCTTCTCTGACTTCCTTGGTTTGTTTTTCAAGAGTCGTTGTGGCCTTGTGTGAATAGAGTGGACTGGCTATTACCAGGGCCAAAGGAACACTTGATACGCATTAAACACTGCTGTCTAGGCTCCTCTTCCCTGCCATTCAGCTGCACTAACAGTTGGGCTGGGGGTCACCAGCCAGGTCCCTCCCTTCCCCAGCAGACAGGGAATGTGGGCTTTTGCTGCAGAGGTAGATGGGAAAACCACTGCAATTGCTCTGCGTGAAAGCCCATCAACTTCATCCCTATGAAGCGAGCTTGGGCTAAGACAAAGGCAGCCTGGTAACCAGAGGAGGGTGGAGAAGTGGAGCACCTGCCTGCTTTTTCCAGTATCCTTTATTGGCCTGTACAGCCTGAAAGCCTTCCTTCCCTGCTCTGGGCCTCAGTTTCTTCCCCTGGCAGCCCCCAGATGTGAGCATCCATCTTATGGCAGCATATGGTCACACACGTGTTTGCAGAACCCTGGTTTCCCTGGGGAGTACGGCACCTGTGTAAACAGAGCAGGAGGCGAGATGTGCTTGTCAGATGCGCTTTGGGGAAGGGACTGTCCCAGGCTGCAGTTCTGATGCTGGGGAACAATGTGGGCTCTGTTTGCCCAGCTGGCTCTCACCTTCCCTTTGGCTGCGCCCATCCCTGGCCCCACCCTGTCTGCTCTGTTGGGGAGGGGGACTGTCCACTGACCAGGGGCTAGGTCTATAAGAGACAGCAGTGCCTCACTTTGAAAGTGCCAGTTTGAAAGAAATTCATTTCAGTGGTAAAAACTCGAAACACTGGGTAAGATTTTCTGATTCTTTGACCATGCATGCTTTGTGTTGGTCCACATGAGAGGAGAGCTTGGGCAGAGGTGGACTGACCTAATTCTCAGCCAGTCCTGGCTTGGCTGGAGATGCCCAGGAGACCAGGATTCTAGCCCTTCCTTCCTGTAGTGCACATGATAAGGAGCTCACGTTGACAGAGGAGGGCCTCAGACTCAACGTCTAACTTATATCTATCTATATTAGTATATGTCCTGCCCACCAGTGACTCTATATGGTGTAGTTTGGAAAGTGTGAAGTAGGACTGCAGGTTTCTTTCAGTCTGGCTCAGAACCACTCACTCATCTTTGCATTGGATTTAGATTTGACCAAGATATTGACTCCATGTGATCCCAAATTCAGACTGACAGAACATATTTCAATAAACTCTGAGGACCAGCTTGCCTCTAAAATTGGAGCCGAGTGCTGTTTCTTTAGTTGAAACACTTAAAGTAACTGGTCTGCAAAATTCTTGTCTTTCTAAGGAATCGTCAAGAATAATCCTGATGACACACTGTCAAGCCTGAGTGGCTTGGCCTACATATTTCTCTGTCACCAGCCGTTCCTTGGCTAGCAAGATTTCTTCATCACTACAGATCCACTTACTTGGTGAAAACACAGATTATCTGGGAGTTCCCAAGTAAGTTCTCATACCTAACAACCAACCACTTCAGGGTGGACAATGGAGGCCAAGTGCTTGGAGAGTGAATATTAACTAATGAGCTTTTGTTTGGTGTAAACAGAAATATACTTGACCAGAGAAGAGGGAGATGAGACCAGAGGGCTCAAGTTTTAGAGTAATGAAAGGGGCTAGACAGGACTGTGGATCTGTGAATTAAAGAGAATGGAGTTCTAAAAAGAGAGACTATTGACCAATGGACTTGGCCTTCAAAGTTTTGTTCTTATCATTGTTGACTCCAGACCAGCCATGCCTGCTGGAGATTGGACAGCATAGGGAAATCTGCCATTTTCTGAGAGTCTAGGGACAAGAGCAAGACCCTTGGCCTGTTTCTCTTTGAGAAACTCAAAAGATGTGATGACTAAGTAGTCCATATCCCAAGGGTATGGAACTGAGAGGCAAGAACTTGATAGGCCAGACTGTGAGAATTTTCCAGGTCTGCTCATTGGGACATGTCCAGATATTCAACACGTTGGCTTCAGAAAAGTTCACAGTGCTAGTATCAAATATAAAAAGTGTGACCCCCATATGAAAGCATGCAGCTACCTCTCCCCTCCAGCCAGTTTCCTACCTCCCTGCCCTTCTTTGCCTGGTCCTCTTGTATGCCCTGGATTTCTTTGCTCCCAGTTTCTCCCAAGTTGTGCTGGGTTATATTTTCTGTGCTTTTGTTCTGTGAAGCTTCAGGCTGCTTGCTTGGTTTTCCATGGTTTGTCTCAGTTTCATTCTCAGATTTTCTGCTGTTGGTCTTGGCTGGGGTCAGTCATTTCCTGACATTTTTTTAGTGTTTTTCCCTGCTTGCCCTCTACCCTTTTCAAATCTCCTCTTTCTCCTCTCCAGCTCTGTCGATGTGAACTGAGTACGCAGTCGAGGCTGCAAAGCTTGAGCTGTGACGATGGTATGAGTCAGCACCCATGAGGGAAGCTGAGCTCCTCTACTGGCAGTTAAACAGGTTGGCTAGAGAATGGATAAAAAGAAGGGATTTTTTTTTTCTGATTGTTAAAAACTAAACATCAGAAAAGCCAAAGACAGAAGAGAGAAGATTAACAGGGAAAAGAAATAAAAAGCCTGGAAAAGAAATGAAGCACAAAGATTTATGAATGTGTAGCTATAGAAAGTCAAATTCCTCTTTAAAACTATGGGAAGAAAAGGAGTCGTGAGTCCAAGCCTTGAAGTTTATCTTCAAAGCTCAATTCAGACCAGATGTTCCCAAACCCGACTCAGCTGCCTTAGCTCAGACCAGACTTTGATATGATCAATCACATTTGAAATTTGGACCTTCTCCTGCCCACCACGGATGTGAGTTGTGGATCCTTCCCTGGAGCCCTTTGAAAAGTACTGAAACCTCTTTTTTGCCTGGGTTATACTGAGAGGGGGCTTAAGCTTTAGAACTTCTGGGAGACTTGCCAGAGGGCAGAGCTAAACAGAAACTCCAAGGCCATCCACCTTCCCCTTTGCCTAAGCTCTTTGTAAACTTCATAATGGGAGTAGTATTTTGAACTTAAGAACGCAAAGTAAGCCTGGTGAGATGGCTCAGTGGGTAGAAGGTGCCTGCCACCAAGCCTGATGGCATGAGCTCATTCCCCAGAACCTACATGGTATAAGAAGAAAACTGACTGCCACAAGTTGTCTGCTACACACATGTGCTGTGACATGTGCTTGTGTGTGTGCATGCACACACACACACACACAAGTAAATAAAAATATAACTTAAAAATTAAATAAAAGCAAAATATATGGTTTATCATTGACCCCTATTCTTCCTTGGGAAAAGATACATTTGGGGACTACATTTGGTTGAATATTCTCCCTGCCATAAAATTTATGTCCACCTAGAGCTTATAAAAGTGACTTTATTGATACAGAGTCTCTGTAGGTACAATCAAGTTGAAAGATATAATGATGCATTAGGCTGGGCCCTAAATTCAACATAAATGACATAAAAAGGGGGAACTTGAAGGGGTTGGGATGTAGCTCAGTTGGTAGAGTGCTTGCCTAGCATTCAGGAAACCCTGGGTTCAGTCCGTAGCACTACCTAAACCAGGTGTGGTGGCACAGGCCTATAATCCCAGCACTTGGGTGGTGGAGGCAAGAAGAACAAAAGTTCAAGGCTATGTACGGAATTCAAAGCCAACCTGGGCTACACGATACGCTGTCTCAAAAAAAAAAAAGAAAAAAGAAAAAAGAAAAAGAATGAACTTTAGACAAAAAGACATAGATGCACAGAGGAGAAGGCCATTTCAGACAGAGGCAGAGACAGACGTGATATAGCTATAAACCAAAGAACAACAAGAGAAACCAAGAGAAAAAGAGATTGCTGATGCAAGCCAGCCAGGTTATAGTACCAGGGAACTAACCTGGTAGCCAGAGTCTCCTCAGTGCTGAGCACACTGACTGATACAGGGATAAGAGGACTTGCCTGGCCTTTGTCTACAGAGAGCTTTCTGGCTGTGCCAGGATCATGACCCTGTGGCCACAAAGTCACCATCCTGTTCTGGTGACCTCCTGATGGCCTCTCCCCAGTCTGGCCTTTTGTTAAACATGCTCTTCTTGGGAATTGCCTGATTGTGGCAATTTAGCACTGTGTTTTATTTCAGTTTCTCATAAATATAGAAGTGCATTTGGAGAGAAGCTTGCTTTGGCAAGCAGGCCTTTGGCAGTACTGACAGCTTTGCATATCTCTCAAATGAGTTATGAGTGGATGGGGACTGGGCTTCAGTCACTGCTCCCCTGAGCTCTGTGGTCCTCCCAAGAAAGTAACCCAACAGTTCTCCCAACCTTTCTTTTCCTGAACAGAAGCGCTACTTGCCCAAGGCCTGAGGAGAAAGAAGCAGCTGTCATCTACACCCCTAAGCTCCCTGCTCCTCACAGAACACATCTTCAATGATAGTGGGGAGATTTTTCAAGACGCCGTTCTTTGTTTATGGGAAAACTTTCTGAAAAAAAAAAAAAAAAATCCCTTAGCATACCCTAACTCAAGGCTACAGGTTCATGACCAGAAGAAAATGCTGGGAAAGTTCTACAGGTAGTTGGAGAGACTGTATAGGTGTGAAACTTCTAGAAAGATCCTCCAGCCAACAGAGTGCTGGGCTGACTAAGAAGTAAGACGTGGCCTTGAGTTGACAGTGGAGTATTTTTCTTCCCCTGTGGTGACCTTGGTATTTTCCTTCTCTCCCAAACTCCCAGAATATGGTGTTTGCCAGCAATGATCAGAGCTGGGAAATACCAGCACTGTTTCCCTGTTCTAGGCCCAGACTCCTAGAATCACAGGGCTGGAAAGAACCCGAGGACCCCTGGGGCCAGTGTTCTCTACACCAGAGTGTGTGTGCTGTAGGCATTAAGTAAGACAATCTACTAGGGTATAGAAGAAAATATTGAACCTTCTAGCTATGTTTATTTTGTTTTCAAAATATATAAAGATTTGTATTAACGGTCAAGATAAGGACAGACTGTGGTAAATCTATGTAGTTTGTCAACAAGTACATATTGGTATGAGTCCCTTAAAATTAACTGTGGTTTTTAAGCCTGATTAGGAAAAAAAACGAAAGTCAGCATTCTAGTCTAGAGGTTTTGGAAGTACTTGCTGGACAATGCAGAGGAGAGGGGCTCAAGTAAGTGAGGACTCTATTTACTTTCCTCTGGGCCCTTATCGGGCAACTTGGCTCTGCTTCCTGTGTGCCCTGAACTTCTACATCATATTTTTTGTGATGAGAAGATTCCACAAAAAAAAAAAAAAAAGCTCAACAAAATGACTAAGCTGTTTCAACCCCCTTACTTTTCGGATGGGAAAACTAAGACCCAGAAGAAAAGTGATTGCCCCAAACCACACAAGTCATTAGGGCCAATGCCAAGGCTCCAATTCCCTCTCATGACTCCCAGTCCTCTGTGTTTCAGATGGGGCCATGGCCATGTGTGCTCCAGAGCATGCTCTGTCTGGGTGACCTTACATAACCAGGCTAAACCAGGAGAAAGATGAGCAAGATAGAGTCTCTTCCTCCAATGATCAGCAACACCAGAACAGGGCCAAACTTAACTTTGTTGTTTGCCAAGGACACCTGTGGAGAGCTGAGGCAGCCTTGGACCCTCTGCTCCTGGCTGGGTGCTCAAATCACATGCCTATTCCCTCAGGACCTCCTCCACTGTTGCTCTAAGATGAAGCTATGATGAGCTTCCCAGAGGCCTTCCTCACTGATACATCGATTCGAAGCATGGGTCTGGCCCCCATTTGAGTCTCCAGGAGTCCCACAAAGTAATCTGCTTCCTCCCAAGAGCAGCACATGTCTCCTGTGGATCTCCAGATCGTCACACTGTTGCTACCAGCCCACTGCACTCAGGGGCTCCTGCTTGTGCTTTTGGCAAGTTCGATGGGTTATGCTCTATGGGAGGCTAGAAAATGAGAAAATGATTGGTTCCTATTAACGAAAGTGTTTTACAGATTTATGAAAACAAGAGAAAGAGACCCAAGGAATATAACAGAGTGACGCAGTATGCTGCCCTTGAGTGGATCTTGCAAAAGTTGACAGAGGTTTCTTTTTAACTGAACTCCTGAAGGGTCTAGAATATACCTCAAATCCGCATGCCAAGTGTGTTCAGCAAATGAATATTATTAGTTCAGCCAATGAATTAATGAGCACAGCAATGAGACAAAAAGGAAGTTCATTTTGAATAAAACGGAAAACTTCTCTGTGTAGGCAGGCTTTGATGAGTGCCTAGAAACAGAAGAAAAGCACAGAGTGTAAGTCAGATGGTGACAAGGTCCCAAGGTGGAGGGAACGGACCTGGAGAACTGTTCTGCTGGGACTAGGAGCTGGAAGAGTCGAACTAGGAAGTTCACACTGGTGGGGTGAAATGCAAATCTGAGTACATGTTTGTACATGCAAACCTGAATTCCTAGAGGTCACAAAACAAAAGAAAAGTATGGAGAAAGCAACGTTTCTGGGAAGGTGAGTTGAGGGGGATGTGAAGTGTGGTTTGGAGGAGGGAGCAGGGAACAACGCAGCCTTCCTTTCCACTACTGCCTTTGCTCTAGTCTTAGCTTGACTCTAGCTGGAGAGCCATGGCCAGCTAAGATGAACAGTGCCTACGACACTGTCCTCTACCACCTGTCCAGAGGCCATCTTCCCCGTCTCTATTAGGCTCTGTGGATTCATTGTGTTACTGTGGCTAGCTCTTGATACTAAAACCAAACCAACTCAATTACTCCTATTTTTTTTTGTTTTGTTTTGTGTGAGACAGGGCCTTGTGTAGCCCATGCTTATCCCAAGCTCATTATGCAGGCAGGGATGACATTGAATTCCTGATCCTTCGGCCCCTACCTTCTAAGTGCTGGGATTACAGGCATGTGCCACCACACCTGGTTTATAAAGTGCTGTGACTTAGACCCAGCGTCTCATGAGCGCTAGGCAAACCCTCTACTGCTGAGCTATATTCACAAAGAAGAAAATTAGCCAATAATGCTGGAGTTTTTTAATTTACTTTTCAGTCAAATCAGCTCTGATAATGGATCCTGGCTGATTCAGACTTGGCTAGGTCCTCCCCACCCATCCCCCATCTTTACTTCTGCCTCAGGCACTATTGTCCAACCTTGTCCCCATCTTCTTTTGCTATCACTATCTACCTTCCTATCTCTGCTCAGAGCTGTGCCTTCTCCTTAGGTAAAAGCTGTGATCTATACACTGAGTAATTGCTAGGCAACTTTCCTTAACCCAGCAGTCTCACATCCCACTGGGAGTCCTTTTGGACATGTCAAAAAATCCTGGTCCAGAAACATGAATTATAGCTACCATTTTCATAAGGTCACTAGACAATTTCAGCTGAGCTCAGGGGTCTTGAA